TGTGGCTCTAAGTGAACTTCATCAGCTTAAATTTTCATAACTGTCTCTCCATGAGAAAGTTGCAGTTAAGAAGGAGTCNTGTGTAAAGCTGTATTCACTGAAAGGAGCTGCCTCAGTCAGCATACAAAGCTTCACATGGAGGAACGTCCACGGCCTTACGAGTGTTCTATTGGCAAGAAAAAATTTATTACACGTCATGATTTGAAACGCCACTGTAGAACGCATAAAGGAGAGAAACCATATCGGTGTGCAACATGTAAGAAAGCGTTCACTGACAGAGGAGAACTTAGTAGGCATTTAGTTGTTCATTCAAGTGAGAAGCAGTATAGCTGTACTATATGTAGTAAGGCCTTTACTATGCAAAGTTCTTTAAAAACTCATGCTAGAGTTCATACTGGTGATAAACCATACCCTTGTATTATATGGAACAAAGCATTCTCCCAGAAAATAAATGTTGTATGACACATTAAAACTCACAGATCTGGAAAGGATCAATAGATAGTGTAGAATTAAGAAAACTGTTTATAAGTACCTTGGGATTGCTGAGCTCCTGGACTTTGTTATGGTAACTGGCTCTGATTATCCTCTCAGATGAGGTGAGGATTCAATTACTCAGTCAAGTATGTTGATCTCTCTTGAGGAAAGCCGTATTCTGGGACGTGGCGCCAAATCCCAGAAGACTGCTTTCTTCATAACCGCTACGAAAACCTCAAATCGTCATCTCTCGTATTTTCATTTGGAAGTTCCATTTCTCTTCTACAGAGAATGCAAACGTTAGCCATGCATTGTACAGCATTTCAATTTTGATTTTATTCTACATCAGTATACCAGGGTTTCGTTTGATGTATATATTCTTTACTTCCTTCTCCTAGCTTCATGGATATTTCCATAATTTTTATAATACATTTTCATATTTTGTTCTGTTGACATCACCTGATCCTTGGTTCATGTAGATTTTCCGCTGAGAGATATTAGCTTTTTCTAAAAGACCAAATGGAGTAGGCGTCTCCCAAACATATCTCCTTAGGAAAAAATAAGATCCAGTTTCTAAGATGTGTTTTTCTGAATACCATTTGGTGTATAATGCCCAGAAACTCAGTAACCCCAAGTGTAACATACCACCATCAGAACCCTTGAGAAATGACATACTTGAATAGGTTTAAAGTGTTGGGATGTTGACTTCTGCCATACTTATGCTGGCCATCTGCAGCCCAGTTTGTCATGTGTTTAAAATATAGAATATGTAAATGTTGTACATATGTTGAATTTCCTAAGAATACAAACATTCTTGAAAATATAGGTTGGTTATCCTGTAATTAGAACAGGCAGAAGAGAACCATAAAACAGTGATAATGCAAATTTTATATGTAATAATAAAGGTGAAGTATAACACTCTGTAGGGTTTAAACCTTAGTGATCTATCAGTAAGTGTAAGATAACCTATGGAGAAAATATTGTCCTGTGCATAAAGACATTTCAAGAATGTTGTTTTGTTATTTAATCTGTGAAAGAATGATTCATTTCCAGATGAATAGATTGTCAAACTTTATTAACTAATTTACATATAAAACTGGCTTATATCTTATCCACTGATGAAAATGTGAGGGAAAGTGTTTACTAGATGTTCCTTAACTGGGGCATATGGATTGCTACAGGAAGCAGAGATAGTGTCTGAATTCTAACAACAAATTGCAGTATTATCCAAGGCTTAGAATTGTAATTTCAAGTCAGTAGTTTTCAATATTATTTGGTTTCTTACATAACAGGATGCTTAAAGGAGTTTATGTTAGTTCAGTGGGCTTAAGTATTGCCGTGTGTTGCCTATGTAACGCGACAAATTCACGCAGGTGGTCTTGGATTTAGCTAAGACGGTGTATTGGACAATCTCTTTTACACTCACACAATTATTATCAACTTGTAATGTCCTTTAGATGTTTCCTCTTCACTCCTATAATTAATTGCACCACTGTTCTTGGTGAAGTGTCTTCTGTCCTTTGTTGCATGCGAGCTTGCTTCTTCTCTAGTTGGAGCTACACTAAAAACTGACTGATCTCATCGAAACTGGACTCTTATAACATGCACTCAGACTGAAAAGAGCGCACCATGTAGGAGGCTTTGGTTTCGCCCGCTGTTATGCAATGAACCTTTTGTTGTCCCTTCATCCCTGGGGATCCATAGGCAACGCCCTGCTGGTATTCCGTTCCCACTGAAGTATATATGTTTATCGCAGCCGTTGCCGTCTTATCGCCCGGCTTCTTTGGTGGCACGCCACTGTATAATTTTTATTTAGAATGGTGAAGTAAGGGAAGGTGCTGGAATTCTGTATACTTTTCGGAAGATTTATTTTCTAGCTGAAATACAACAGTTACAGCGTTCTAAATTTTAAGTAATTCATGATTTTTCCCATACCATAATGAAAGACTAGTTTTGGCATATGTTGAAAATACCTATAACAAAAAGCAAATTTATGAAAACATACATTTGCACAGAATTCCCCAAGTGTTTTGTAATAATGTGCATACTTCATAGATATACATTGTGTGTCACAAATCATTTATGAAATGTCTACATAGCAAGAAGCTCTTTACAAAGACACTCAAATTCAGATGTTACCACCCTTGACAGTAGCACAGAATGTAGCAATCCATTACACCTATCTCATAATTAAGAGAATACACCAGCTGGCCAATAGCCAAAGATACAGAAATCCTTTCTTCTAGCAGTCTTTGGAAGAGGGCCAGCATTTCCAAAGCTGATGATGAAACCTGAATGCAGGACAATAAGATAAGGCAGAAACCCTCCTATATAGCTAACTTTCTCCAGAATTAGCAGAGCCTTTCCACTTAATACTAGGTAATTCCCTCTCCCCTCAGGGTACAAATAAGGATATAGAAGGAGCACTAAACCCGGATCTGCTGCCATCTTAAGGTAGCATTAACATGTCGGGAAGGCCAATTAAACTAATTCCAAAAGGAATCATATGACTCCTATATTACCACGTTTATTCCAGACTACGAGAACTGGGATCTGTCCTATTAGGTACTGTATGAATCACTAAAAGACTACTTTATCTTAGCTAACCAACCATAAGCTTCACCATTTCACTTCATATCTTTAGTCTGTTGGGACTATCAAGGCAATAATTCTTCATATATAACTTCTCTAAACTATCGCTCTTGCCCTTCAGGAATTGGACTTTAGTGCTGTGAGTATCAAGCAAAAGTGACAGGTAAATGTTCCTCACCTGAGGGAATAATAACCACTACCACCTCACCCCCTTTCTCGATGGCTCTGGAAAACTTCCAGAAATCACATTCTTCATCCTCAGAAGCCTTTCCAACATCTTAAGCATTCAAGCTTATTGCAGCCAGGCTGGCCCAATGTAAAGTTACAATTGCTCATGTTTGGTCACATGTAGGTTAATTTTCTGTCTCTCCCTAAACTATGATGTGGAGCTGGTCATACTCCTGACAGTCCCCAAAAGGAGACTGATACCAATGTTCTGAAACGCTGTAAATGTTCATATTTTTTTGCAAGGTTATCACAAAGTGTACTGGAATGTTACAACAGGTATAATATTCAAGATTAATTTTATAGAACAGCTTTCAAGGGCATACAAACACATATGGGTACAACTTTTTAACACAACTACTTGCCTGAATCAATGCTGTTTCATTTGAATTTTACTTAAAGAACCAGTGACACTAATTTATGAATACAGGCCTCTCGCTTCTTATGCATTACAAAGCATTTGAAAGGAAAGTGACAAATTTTGATAACCTTGCCTTAGAACTGGAATATTATAGCTACTAGACAGAGCTGCATACTTCTCATGAAAGAAATGCTCTGCATGAATTATAACTGAAATGCGTCAAACCTGAGTTAAAGGTAAAGTTGTACCTGTGCTTAGCTAATTAAGCACTGGGGTAAATGGTCAGCTTCACGCCCTGGCTAATTTAGCCCCAGTAACCAATGGGCAGGAGGCTGGGTGGGCCTCAGCCGGTCTGTACGCTATACACAATAATAGAATCTTGTCCCAGCCAAGAATCGAACCCCGGCCGTAAAGCCCGCAGCCTGTCACTATATCGAATGAGCTATCCCGGCTCTTACTAAACCTGGAGTGAACGCTTTAATATCGGACGTACTTGCTTATCGCGAACGCGCGAAGTTTACATAAAGCTTCCCACTACTAAAAATAGTATTCATGAATAGATAATCTTTAATCTGGCCTGTAAAAAAATATCCGTGATTTATTGAAAAGAGAGTGCACTCACTACACATCACTTTTCAGCAAAAAATGAAATAATTTCATATATTTATGCAATAATGTATCTGACTCATTATCATTTCACTGAATGAAAAATGTTGCACTTACGTACATAACCTGGTTTTTATTTGACCCTTTTAATAAAGAGAATTTTGTACACATTTATTTCATTTCGAGCAGTTTTCTGCTTAACTCTTCGTAAAACCACAGACATTTCATCCCAATTTTATTTTATTACTTTGTCTTTGACCATCAGTGGCGATAGGATGCCAGAAGACACACAAAATTTTATCGGTATCGCAGTACACTGTGCATGAGTAACTTCGTTCGAAATAATGTTATCGCCCACCGAATTCATTGTCAAATAAGCAGTTCCAAATTTTGTATCGGTGCAAGGAACTGTTATTTTTATGTGGTGAGTTCTGTTTTAGTTTTGGTAGTAATATGCAGCATTATGCTTTTCTGTGGTTTGTAATCAAAGCATTCCTTCTATACGGGTAACGTTTGTTACTTCCCAAAGAAAATGGATGATGTACTAGTGCCAGCAATTAAGGAAGAGCCGAATTCTGACAGTGAAAGCGACCCGTTATCATCGAATATAGATCTACGCAAAGTAAAGGTAGGTTATGTAAAAAAAACTTATTTGAATGCAGTGTGCCGATTTGGTACATTTCATATTTTTATTTTCAATGTAGTGAGGATTGTCTTCATCTGCATCGTAATTATGTTGATGCAGATACTTGACTCTAGGGCTTTAGCGATGTTAAGTGGTAAATTAAGAGAACTAACTTGAATGGCGAAAAGTGTGAAAGTACGTTATATGCTACGTTGTAGCCACCAATGAAACATCAGAATTTTAAATGATCATATAACTAGTTCCTTCAGTTCCAAAACTTAGTACTTTTTTTTTGAAAAGTTCAAAGACAATATAGGTGAAATTTACAACTATTGTGTGATGGGTGTGTGTGATGGTAATTCTGCGGTACATAAACTTAATTTGTGATTTCACTCATTTACAATGTGCATTTCATATTATGACATTCTGCCTGTCTCTATATAATGTAGTATAGATGGTGTTTGCTGTATTGAGTAGAATTTATACCCTTTTTCCCTATAGTTCCTCAAAGTTGCAGTATGCCTTAGTTAAGTTTTTATGGGCCAAGAGTCAGGAATTGCTGTAAATCCAATAGCATACTTCCCAGTGGTTGTATGCCATCAGGCGGTGTGTTAGAATTGCATCCCATAAGTAAGTTTCTGATGCTGTTTTCCTAATAACACCAAGTGAAGAGCATAAAGTATGAAACTTTTTTTTTGTTATTCATTTATCTCCACTCTCCTTTTAATTTAATTGTGTTTGGGCCAAAGTTATTGTTTTTATTACTCTGCTTTCAGACATTTCCAATCTTTGTAAGAGTTGAGGTTTTCACAGCGGTGATTATGAAGAATGCCGGCTTCTGGGATGTGGTGCCGTGTAGATATTTTCTTAACCGACGTTTCAGAGGAATGTATCACCTCCATCTTCTGGTTATAAGAAATCCGTGAGCAATTAACTCAGTCTACAGACACCTGCTCATGCTGGTTCATCGTTCATGGTTTTCTTATACCCTGATGATGGAGGTGATATTTTCCTCCAGAACGTTGTTAACAGCATATCTGTATGGCGCCACATCCCAGAAGATGGCATTCTTCATTTTCAATCATTGTTTTCACCACAAAACTAAGAGTTAAGCTTTGCACACATGTGAAACTGTGTAAAATTTTAATTTTATATATTAATTTTGTTTTACCATTGTTTACTGTCTCTGTGTGTGTAGGGGAGTAGGCAGGGTTTATTTTGTTCCACTGATACAGTATTCTGTTCTTAGCACCCTGTTTTCAGATATGAGATGTACTTTGTGTGAATGATACAGCATTGAAAGTTCCCTCTTCTGGAATATGATGCAATGTAGTCTGGTAGAAGAATACTGATGTTTTGGAGAAACATACTGTATCCATCCTTAGGGTCAAAGAGTAAGCCAAGCACCAAACAGACAAGCAGCTTCCCAACAGCATCCTAGAAAATAGTAATCTTCATACTCACCACCATGGGAACCGCAAGTCTAAGATATACTGTTATTAGTTTATACTGCCCTTAGTTGAGTCATAAATGACGTTTTTATTATTGTTTCTCACAAGAAATTGAATATTAAATGATTTAATAAGTATCAAAGGCTATCACATGCAAAATTTAATGTTTAACAAAGTCTTTACATGTTACGGCCACAATTGGCCATGATCAGAAGGCCAAGCCAACACTGCAAAGGAAACACTACATGTATGATAAACGCATGTTGTTTAGAGGACGTCCTACTGACCATCACAGCATTCTAGAACATACACAACATTACAGAAGAACATATGACCAACCATGTAAGAGTTTTCATGTGCCAACAGTAAGAAAATGTGCCTGTCACCCGATTCACATACCCATACAAGAGATTTTAATTAATTGTACTGATATTGACTCATTTTCAAACTTAGCTTACCATAATTACATTTGTATTGATTCTCTTGATTTGTAATGGTAGAAATCCCTTTTAAACAACATGGTTATCATACATCTAAAGTATTTCCAGCGTAGTGTTGGCTTTGCCTTCTGATGATGGCCAATAGTGGCCAAAATGTGTAAGATATTAAATTGTTCCACTTAATGAACCTTGATACTTACTAATTTGTTAGAAATTGTGGCAGCCCAGAATGTCTTATAAAAATGAATTTTAAATATTTCTAAAATGTATACTGCTTGCTTCTCGAGTATGACTGGTGGATTCTTAGAAGAAGTATGTTTTTTCTAGATGGTATGACAACCAGGGATCTGACATACATTGAACCTGTGACAGCATGTCATTGACATCTTATGTCTGAACTATCCAATCCAGTGAACTGCAGCCTATATAAGGCAGTGGCCTGCTGTGAAATTGAATCTTTACACTTAATAATATACAGCATGTTTAACACAATGTTATAATTTTTATATCTGTTAATATTATTTACCAGTCTAGTTACACAAGCTATTGAAACAAGTACTGTCTTTTTAACACAACTATAGTAGGCTCCATTTTCAAAATCAGTGTCAACTACTGTAAGCTTAGTGTTGTTCAATGTTTAGATGTCCAGTGCTTGAGATGTATACTGTTCTGCTAATTACACATTGTTTTATGATATCCGTTAACATGAAAGAAACTATTATATAAGTTTAACTTGTGAAAATTATTGCTGTAAGTCACATATAGATGTTGAAAGCCTAGAATGTGCATCAAAGTAAGTTTTGTTTTTCATAAATGTTAATTTTAATATATAGTTGAACCCAGATGTCGCCTCATTCTTTTTTTACCACAATTTGTGGTGGTATTTTTTAAATACCTCTTTATATATCTATATACATACATATACGTATATAGGAATTATGTCACCATCAGCACAATAAATATTCAGTTTTATTTTTGATCTTTACACTGCTACATGTTTCGGTCACATAAGACCATCATCAGGCAGGTACGTATAGTCATTGAAATACCGATATCGATCCTTATTGGTGCAACGCGTCATGTTATGTACTGACATAAAACTCTTGCCTCAAGTTGATGTTATAATAAAGTAGCAAATACATAAATAATATACGAGGGTCGTACTGAAAGTCATGAGGAACAATTTTTTGTAAAGTAACATACTTTATTATTGACAATCCAAATACACCACCTCAATCTACAGACCTTTCTTTATTTTTCCACGTAATCGCCACTTCTTTGTACACATTTCTCCCAGCGTTCTGTAAAATTCCGTTCCAGTCATCCGAAGACGCTGACACACTGCTTTCTGAATTGCCTCCCTTGTCTCAAAACGTTGTCCATGCAGCTGATCCATGCAGCTGATCCTTCACAAATCCGAAAAGATGGTAGTCGGAGGGTGCCAAATCAGGGCTGTAGGAGGGGTGTGGAAGAACTTCCCACCCCATCTTTGCAGTTGCTTCCAATGTGAAGTGTGGGGGAAAGCATTATCATGCAGGATGATGATGTTTCATCCCGGACGCTTATCGCGCAATGCACGATGGAGCTTGTGCAGCGTCTGGACATAATGAGCAGCATTGATGGTTTGCCCAGGTTCCAGGAGTTCAGCCAGAATAAACCCCTCTGCATCCCAGAAGACTGTGCCCATCACCTTTGCAGCTGATGGCACTGTCTTTGCCTTTTTTGTTGGAGAATGCAAATGGTGCCATTTCATATTCTGCCGTTTCATTTCAGGCTTGACATGGTGAAATCAGCTTTTGTCACCTGTCACAATACAGAGCAAAAAATCATCGCCTTTGTGTCAATATCTCTGCAGCAGTTCTGAGGTGATGGCTTTTTGCTGACCTTTGTGGTCTTCGGTCAGTAACCGCGGGACCCAGCGAGCACAAACTTTCCTATAGCCCAAGCTTTCAATCATCTCCTATACTGCACTGTGCCCTATTCCAAGTTTTCGGGCTATTGTGTCCACCGTCACATGCCTGTCATCTTGAATGATTTCATCCACTCTTTCCTTGTTGTGTTCAGTTGAGACTGTTTGAGGACGACTGCTTCGAGGCTCGTCTGCAATGCTGGTGTTCTCATTTTTAAATTTTTCACCCATCTTCGAACACTGCTTGCATCCATGCACACACTTCCATAAGCACGCTGAAGTCTCTGGTGAATTTCTGCAGCAGGTGTTTCCTCTTTCACAAGAAATTTGATGACAGCACGCTGGCGAAACAACATATTGTTGTCGGCCATTTTGTTAGGAGTGATACTGGTCACATAATGTAAGCTATTGATGTCATAAGACACTCAAGGTTAACACAAAGGCTGGTTTCACTTACCACCGCACTCTCTTTCATCTGCTGTTCCCACGTTGCATGCAAAAAACTGTCGCTCATGACTTTCGGTACGACCTACGTAAAAGACAAATGTAAGGGTGTATCGTGTATCAAATTATAATGTGTTGAAATGCTATAAAATATTAAGAGTATATTAAAAATGTTAAAAAATGTTAAATGTTTTTCGATGATAAGTTAAGAATTGTATGCGAACTTAAATATTTTAGTTTTCACTGCTTCAGTGTAGAAAATGGGCACATACGTTGTTTGTAGGTCTTATTATAGAAGTGATGAGAAATATCAACTTTACTGAAATGTAGATCTGTCGTAACAAAAATACACGCTCCTCCCCTCTGTAGGCTTTTTAGGCAAAAACTTGAGCCTAACAGGTAACCATTCATTGAGATGAGCAGCGATTCCTGTTCAACCATGTGATGCTCACTTAAACATAATATGTGAGGGTTTATGTTGTCTATTTCAAAAGAGTGTAGTAATTCATCACTTTTGCTTCTCAAGCCTCTGATATTCTGGTGAAAGATATTTATCGAATTTAATGTTTCTGCATTTTATCTGTGAATTTCCAAGACTGCTGGACTGCATTTAATATATGATAGGCATCTTGGTGCTTTTGAATTTAATCTAAAAAGAAGACGCCCTAGCATTGGTTATAACAGGAATATCACTTATACCTGACGCATGACCACCAACAACCCACTCAGCAATAAGCTGCGTGAGCCTCTTCTTGCCAAGAGAGCTCAGGTGCAGGCCATGCATTGTGTACTCTTCCCTCGCAATTGATGATGCGTCAATGACACCAATGTGAGATATGTCATGACCCATCAGGGCCTGATCAAGCCTTAGATTCATGTTCCTAACCCTTCCATTCATCCACAGCTTGTCGTGCCTCTCAAAGAGGCTGACAAATCCCACATTCGTGTTTGATGTCCTCTTTGCAATGTAGTTGAGATCATTTTCAATTGAATAATGACTGTTTATATCCCTGTTATTTCCTGTCCCTCCCACTATAATAATATGATCTTGGTAAGGCCTTTACAGAGCTTCCCTATATCCTCAACAACCTTTGGAAGAGGAGCATTTGGTTTGAAAATGCTACATATGGAAAATTTAGTTCCCAGATTTTCTTGAAGCATGGGGCCAATTTCCCTACCATGACTGCTTCCCAGTAATAAGATCTTTCCTTTATTTTTATTTTTCTCTGTCTGTTCATTCTTATGGCTTGAATATGTTCTCTGTATCGATCCTTGAATGCACGCCCTGTCTGTCAATGTATCTTAAAGGACATTCATTACATTTTAGTTGGTATACCCTGCATTTCTTATATATGTCAGTTTGTTTCTTTGGTTTTAAATGGCTCCCAGTGGTGTTCTTTGTTTTAAATGCTATTTCAATATTGGTGTTTTTAAATGATTTTGTAATCATTCGTGTTTCAGGGCCATAATATGTAAAGGTGGTCCATTTTTCTTTTTTGTTTTTGTTGTTGTTATGTTTCGTGGGGTTTGAGAGGTAGTATTGTCAGAAATGGTTCTTGGCAAATATTTTGTTTATAGTACTTAATTCTACTATTTTGTTCTTGTGGGTAATTGGGTATGTAGTCATGTGGTTGATAAAGTATGTTATTAATGTTATATTTTAGCGTCCTGTTGCACTGATTTATGTCCATGATTTATTCCAGCCGTCTTACAGTGCATACACTCATCCACCTCACTCTTCACTCCTGCACTACATGTTTCGGCACAAAGGTGCCATCTTCAGGTGCTTTTCGATTTACGTTAAACTGCTTCTCTGCATGCCTTGCCGTCTTCATACTAAAATAACTAAAATATATGTTCATCATTATATTGATAAATATTAAATATTAAAAATATTAAAACTGTTCAGGATTTTTTATCCCTACGTCGCATCTCAATACGCGAGTCACACCTATCCTCTTCTATCGGAGCACTCTTCCTACTTTCGTGTGTGTATCTGGAACGTGAAATTGTTATTCATTAATACCGCATTCCGTATTTTATTTATTACTTGTGGTATTATAATTTTTAATACTCACTGTGCTTTGTGTTGTGTCTTGCTCCTGTGACTGCGTGTGTTATACTGCTGGGCCTGCTGGGTATGTGTGTGTGTGTGTGTGTGTGTGTGTGTGCATGCGTGCGTGCGTGCTGTCTTCGTTTTGATTGAGTTATGATGTTGTGGGCGTAGATGTGGTGGGGGTAGGTGGTGGGGTGTTGTTATGTTGTTCTGTGTAGATATTGTGTAATTCGTGGTATATTGGGTTATATATTTCTTTATTTATATTATTCATATGTGTGTTTTTCTTTGTCGTTCTGTATATATGATAGTTCTCCAATGTGTTCAAGTATTGCCCCTTCCTACCTGTTGCTATGATATCCATAGTGTTTTCTATAGAGTATAGTGAGTATACATACAGCTGCCTGATGATGGTCTTATGTGACTGAAATATGTAGCAGTGTAAAGATCAAAAATAAAACTGAATATTTGTTGTGCTGATGGTGACATAATTCCTACATATATATATATCTGTAACACACAACAGGATGCAACCAGTGAAGATAATACCTATTTTCTAATTTATAAAATTTACTTGTTAGAAATGATTTTAATTACAAAATAAAAACACATTAGAAGAACACTGATACTTGCAAATCATCATCATTCCATTGGTATAAAATAATTCTTAGTCTTTATTTCAACTGTCTTTTGAATAACTTTAGTAACAGTAACGTCCAGAGCAACAACATGTTGCATTTTCTTGTCATCACTATTCCGTTCATAATACCAAAAGATATTTTTACACACATTTGAGCCTCGTTAGCAGATTTCAGGGTCTTCATTTTCAATATCACTCTTGACAGTAGGAACATCCTCCATTGTTGTGAAATTTCCTCTAGGTCATTTCTCAAAAAGCTGGTTACTCTGCTTCGGTTTGGATGAACTGTTCTGCAGTAAACTGTGTTGCAGTTGGTGTGAGATTGCACTTAGCAGATCATGAACCTAGTCATATTCACCTTGAATGTGATGCACATTTGCCACTATCCCACTATGTGCCCAGTAATTACTTACGAGGGGGGACCCAAAAATAACCGGAAACGACCTGTTGCGCGCGCATGCTTTGTAGTTACGAGTTGTGCTGCTAGGTGGTGTTAGCTGGGGGTCTCCCGCGACTGTTAGTGAGCTGGCGTTAGTCTGAGTTAAGTGGTTTGTCCGTGGTGCTCTGTTGTGTGCGTTCCTGTTTCAACCCTTTGGCGATTAGTGAGATGGCCGACCAGAAGGAACAAAGAGTGTGCGTGAAATTGATGAAGATCATCAAAAGACCATTGACCAGCTTTCTGAGGAAACGAACATCTCATGGAGCACAGTCCAGCGAATTTTAACCGAAGGTTTGCACATGAGACGGGTGTCTGCAAAATTTGTTCCTCGCTTGCTCGGAGATGACCAAAGAAAAAACCGCGTGAATGTTTGCTGCGACTTGAAGAGTGAAGTGCAGTTTTCCCTAACAGAAAGCCTTAAATGGCCTCATTATCTCCTCATAATACAATGTTTGATTTTGAAATTTACAGACTGTTGTCTACAGTAACAAATAGGAAACAAATCTTCAATTGATTTTGAAATTTTACATACCATTACATACTTTTCAGAAAGTGAAAAGTAAAAGAACATTCCATAAAAGGTTATTTTTAACGATGTATAATGGTTACTATTACAGTGTAGTTTAAAAGTTTTCTTTTGTAAAGTACAATAGTACTGAAATTGTGGTTGTTTTTACTTCTTGTTTATTAAAATGTGTAGTTTTTGGGGGATCCATGGGCTTGGGGCTTCATAGCAAAGATAACAAAAAGAAATATCATAACACGTCATTTTCCTTTGCCCACTTCCATAAGGTTGAATGTTCATACGCACTGATAAAAATCTAGCCAAGAAATGTAGCTGACTTGTATGGACACATAAGTGAGGGTGACACTACAAGGAGGTCTGACTGTACATATTTCTACAGTCAGTATTGACCATATTTCCCTCTCCTAACTCTATTATCTAAATCATATTGTAACATTGGCTTCAGTTTTCGTTTATATTGTGAGCTGTATAAGATGCAAGGTTTTTAGGGCAGTGAAGATGGTCTTCTGATTGTGTAATCTATGGGCATGATGGAGTCAGTATATTCCCCAGAACATTGGTGTCCACTTACCAGACTACAAATCATGCCTGTTTTGGGGTTAAAAAAATACTGTTTTATTTAACAATTAAAGGCAATCTGTTTACAGATTATGTCTAATGGAGATCTTCCTCATATTCCAAATGTAAATGCTGCCACCCATCTAAACCCTTTGCTGTAGAAAATAAATGATGGTATTAATTTATTTGCATCATGATGTTGATGAGTTAATCTCCATATTAATTAAATCACACAGGTATGGCATCAAATTAAGGCATAAAGATGAAGTTTAATCAAGCACTGACATAAATCTAAATTTAAACTTTATTTGTCCGCTGGCCTCCTGAAAACTAAGATTTCTGGTATAATTTTAAAGTGTTACCCAATGACAACAGTAAGAATTATTCTGAATCTTTTTCAGACTACAAGTTTGGACACAGAATTTAACTTACATTTCACAGAGTCGCTACAATCACCCATGAATATTCTGTTAATGTGTTTTTGTACTGTTGTGTTCATATTCAGGAAGAAGATGGTGGCCATGAACGTAGACATGTTCCAAATAATGTAGAAGTTCCTGCAGATAACGAAATGATTGAGGTGAAAGAGGAAATATCCATTGATGAACATGAAATATGTCTACAGAACTTAGATACAGTTATGTAAGGAATGCCTTTCCTTATACGTGTTATACATTTTTCTTTCCTCCAGCCTTAGAACCCAATGCAAATACTGTGGTCTCCACTGTCAGGCACTGGAAGAGGGTCAGTTTTCTGTGAATTGTAAAGTCTTCCCTGCAACCCCAAGTTGATGTTCTGCTTCTTACTTGGCTATAATTACAAAGCTTGTATGGTTTTGTATTACCCATTATTGGCCATGTGTTGCACTATTGTAATAGTGAATATGCACAATCCAGTTGTTGGAGCTTGCATTTATTCATGACTAATACTGCTATCCCCAAGTTAAAATCCAGCCAGCAGTCCTGTGTTAGTGTGAATTTAAAATCCCTTATTCCCACATTGTAGAGGCTAACAGTTTTTTGGGGGGTAGGGTTGTGCCTTATATACTTTTGAGTTTTAGATGTTTTCACTGTAAAATATGCCATTGAAATTTTGTCACGGGAAGACCCTTCATGTCTTTCTAATTAGAAGTTTGGTGGCTATGAGTTACAAATGTATGACCACTTGTTAATCGTCTCCCAATAAAAAGTATCAGGATTTAGAACTTGTCACTGCAGTATATGTTTTGTCCTACTTGGCCATCATCAGGTGTGTTGAAATGTAGTTCCTCCTTTATGTTATAACATCCACACTGCACACTTGATAGGCAACAGGCATTTAAAAAAAGACAGTGATCCCAGTAGCGTGGAAGGCACAGCAGTTCCTCCAAATTTCAACACACCTTATGATGGCTGAGTAGGCTGAAACATGTAGTGCAGTGACAAATTTTAGAAGGACTGAATTTTTAATTTTGATATTGTTGAGTGATGGATGGTAACTCAAAATAAGTGTTGATACTTCTGCAACAGGATGCTAAGATACAACAGTATGACCAGATGTGATGATACAGGTTTGATGATGCTGTCACCAAGAACCAGTATATAATGAGTCTGAATAATAAATTGCATAAAATGTTAATATCTTTAGAGTTACAGGTATTGTACTGACAAATTTCGATGCCAATTTCAATTTACAGGTATCGCCAAGAACGAGCTTGTGATTACACTAGAATAATACATGAAACATATGAAGCTTATATGGACCAGCATACACATGTCAGAAAATGCTTTGCACACATTTGTGGTGAGTGTGGAAAAGGTTTCATTACACCCAGCAAACTAAAGAGACATTCACTGGTCCATACAGGAGAGAAGCCACATATGTGTGAAGTTTGCACTGGGAGATTCAAAAGTATTGACCACCTGAAGAGGCATTCAGTTATACACAGTGAGGAAAAGGCATACGATTGTACTGAGTGTAATAAGCGATTTACTAGGTTGGATCGTCTGAAGGCACATTCCTTGATTCATTTTGGAAGTAAACCATATGCTTGTAATGAATGTGGTAAAAGTTTTATTAACCGCAGTACATTGAGAAGACATGCGTTAATACACACAGGGGAGAAGCCATTTATATGTAAGGTGTGCACTAAAAGATTCAGCCATCCTACTGCGTTGGAAAGACACAAGTTTACACACACTGGAGAGAAACCTTATATTTGTAAAATATGTGGTGTAGGTTTCGTTCGACTTGATTATTTGAAGACTCACGCTGCTTCACATAGTGGTGAAAAATCATATGTGTGCAAAGTATGTGCTAAAGGATTTACATCATGTGGTGTGTTGAAGAAACACACACTAATACACACAGGAGTGAAATCATTCAAGTGTTCTGAGTGTACTAAAGGGTTTTTTCAGAAATTTAATTTGATCCGTCATTTACAGTCACATCAGGACAGAAACCCAATAAAATAGTAAATTGATTATTGTTTTACAAGTGAAATTTCATGTTTTAGCTGCAAGCAGTATACTAAAACTTCCTCCTTTATACTTACACTGATTTCCATTTTAATTTGGAAAGTTGCTTGGGAACTATGTTGTTATAGTGTTGTGTTCTTCCTTCATGTTTCCTTTCAGCTACCTTTTGTGGCAAATCACTACTTTAATATCTAGTATCAGTTTAATACTAGCCTTTATAGAACTTGAATTTAAGTTGATCTTTTTCTTTTATAATTAAGAGTGTGAAAAGGGAACCCTTTTTCCCTTGGAACGTATTTCTAGTCAGCTGAATGTGAATCCACTGTTTCTTTACGTCTATTAAGCGTTTTCTTAACTCACAAGAACAGAACTCCCTTTAAACTTTTGTGACCAAAGTATTCTTAGCAATCAAAGAATGTCAAAGATTTATAATTAAACCATTTGCATGTAAAGAGTGATTTTGTTTCTTGAGGTTATGCTGAGGGTTGCAAATATCAGAGAATGTTTATAAATTGCTCCAGGCAACTGTCCTTAATTTGTTGTCCTATAAAGCATTGGAATGAAGCGAAAGTATGTAAGGATGCTTCAAGAATACCACAGCTTGTCCTGTGTGAGAGTGAGTAAATATATGAGTGTTATTGGAGGTGTCAGCATCTGTGGCCATATGCACTTGTGTAGAAACCTGTAGTGTGGTTTCATATACACAAGTGGTTCTCAGCCTATTTTGCTCATGGCCCGCTTCTGAATTTCATTCACTTCTGTGGTCACCACCCCTCATATTGTTTATTTACAATAAATATGTACTTTATCAACTGCACTTTTATATACAAAATGTATTATTTGTTTATAACATATGGAATATTAATTAATAATTTTTAAAATTTATGACTGCCCTATTTCTGAATTTTTTAAAGATGTGAAACATTTTGGAAGTCAGTATTCATAAAAATTACTTTGGAAGCCATTCTACTTAAAATAATTACAAAACTGCTGTAATCAATTCACAAGATTTTTCTTTTGAAAAGGGATTATATTTGAACCCTATAGAAAGCTAATAATTTGTTTGTAATGAAAGTGCAAATTCTTATGAAATGTAATGCTTAAATGTTGAAAAATAGCAGATGGAGTTTGTAACTTACCTCCAAAGTAGGGAAGTGTCATAATAATAGAACTTTCGCAGAAAAAGTCTTCTTCCAGACACTCCAAATACGGAATTGAAGAACACCTGAAATTTACTGAAATGATGGTGGTAAAACTCATGAGAGTGGGAGATATTTAGGAAAATAAAGGATCATTTTTCCAGTTAACCATTTTGTTAGGGCTTTGCCCGCTCCTAGAAGGTGAGTACCTGTTTACCAGTACTTGGAATTTCCAGATCTAAGGCTGTGGTTCAAGTACAATAGGTTCTGTCCCTTCTAAGGTACACAAAAATAAGGATATTGAGTTATTGTGTTATTATATGTACTGAGTGATTGGCATTTTTATTTATTTATATATTAATAATAACTTTATTTTAGAAGTGAAATCTTTGTGGCCCACTTAACAGCTTCCATGGCCCTCCAAAATACGGCATGACCCTTTGGGGGTGTCACATGGCCCCTGTTGAGAACCACCGACATATACCATATGTTAGGTATTTAAAATGCCATGTTTCTGATTTAACATACACTGCATGTGCTGTAAGTCTGTTTAACAGTGTCCCAATCTCTATAACTCTTAACTTTAGAAATGAAACTGCCAACCTCCATGTTACAAAGGACAGCCATCACTAGATATGTTACCATGATCATCTCCTAGAATGCTGCACAGTGTACCAAAAAGATGGCATGTTTAGCATTGTTTGTCGTATATAAAACAATTTGGAGATGCCACAGTGATCACCAGTGGGTGTCCAGTCATATGTTAACATATGGCCATGTGTAAGATGAGTGTGTCCAATCCAAAGCCACATCACGATAACCCAAGCCCTTCTATTGCAGCTGCAATAGAACATTGTCCACTCTGTAGTCACAAACAAACACTTGCCTTGCACCTAGGGCACAGAATGCATTCAGTTTTCTGTGTGGTCAAAGTGAATTCGAATATCACAGTTCAACTACTAGTACTAATAATTTTTATTGCTTAAAAGCACAGTGTAATGTTTTATTTAAAAAATATGACACACGAGTTGATGAGACTGGATAGACCACACATTTAACTTTTTCCCTGTCACTCCTTCATCCCTCTGTGGCCTTCACAGTGATGTCACTGTTAGCACCATAATTAAGATTAACACTCGCTGGACAGGCAGAATGTACCACTTGGCTTGTGGTGCACATAGGGTTTTGAGGTTTTTAAATCAGCTATCATGCAATAAAGCAGTTCATCACTGTTCTGGACTTATATGAAAGCTCTATGTTAACTAGACGTGAAAATGTCACTCGCAACACTTGCAGCTAAGAAGGGAACACGCATCAAAAGACGCGGTTTACACAGAAAATAAGAAAAACGACCCAGTAGTGTACAAACCACATACAAGTTTTAATTAAGACAAATAAGATGAATTATCTTAACAAGTTTTAGCGAGTGTAAATTTATCATAGTTGACAAATACAGACTTTTTAAATAGTTTGTGAAAACATATGAGGGCAAGCAATGCAATAGATTGACGTAGTTGGGACACCTGATGATGGCACTGTGTTGCCGAAACATGTTGTGAAGTGACAGGTGAAATTGTGTGCACTACAGGACGGCCACTGTATACATATAATGGATGAAAATCAGTGCAACAGGACGCTAAAATATAACATTATAGACGTGAAAATGTTCATGAACAGATATGACAGCGATTAAGGTGTTCATTTCTTCTGTGTTGCACACACTAGCCTTGTGTAATAAATATTTTACTATGCTCTATACAATTCCAGCCTGTGAAACCGAAATTAACGGCTGTGGGGATTTTTTTACTGTAGAAAAAATATTGTAAACACAAGGAATATTTTTTCTTGTGGACTAAAATCATGGAGTGCCCTATAAAATAAATTTAATAATAGTAGTAGTAGTAATAGTAATAATAATAATAATAAAATTCTTTGTGTATTTACGTGCTAAACTCGATAACCAGTGGCCACTTACAGAGTCAGCATGAATACAAACAGCAGCAGCAATAAGGCAACACAGAAAACAAATAAATTTGATGAGTTAAGAGTTAAACCTGAGTTTTTTAAGCTATCTGTAGATTTAAAAAACTGCATTCGCAGTAGAAACACATCAACTTGAAGGGTAATGGCTGGAGGAGTAACTGAATATGGTAAAATGGGAAAATGAATGCCAACTGCTTTGAGAATGAGCAACATTTGGCAAAACTAAAGATGTTATTAAAAGTAAAGTATCAGAGTGGCAAAGCCTAATATCCCATGTCAACAAATTTGTTTTGATAAATCATCTCAAAAAAAAAAAAAAAAAAACTAGTGTGGCAAAGAGCTGCAAATTTTATATATATGCATTATAACATCAGTGTGCCCCCTCAAAAAGAGTGAAGTTGGGCTTCCCTTTTGTTTTTATAATAAATAATATTAATTAATAAATAAATTAATATAATAATAATAACAGAAGCATCTGTGTTTTGCATGAGCGTGAACCTTCGTCTCTCAGGCTGAGGGATGAATATGGTTTGAGGGTATTTTGACATAAGAGGAAGGAAGTAAAAGGGCAGATGGAGAAAAGAGCATAAGGAAGACCATCATTTGTACTCGTCAACAGTTTCATCAAGCATGATTGCTCTAGACTTGAGTTTGATTCAGATGTCCGCCGGGACACTAGCTGTCCTGAATATCTTCATGGCTTTGTCAGTCTCAGTACTGGGATAGTACCTCAATTACACCACAACTGCTTCCTTCCAAACCATCCTATCATTTGACATTATATATTGTAGATCCTGAGAGTCATTAAATAGCCAGCTAAAAAAATACATTCTTCACTGAATATCAAGGAGAATGTGATGAAGTATGTGTCACACATGGGAAATGAACAGAACACTCAGATTTTTGATTAGAAATTCTGAAGGGATGATATCACTTGGAAGAGCTAAAGGCAGAGAGGATGTTGTTAAAAGGGGATGATGAAGAAATTGGGTATGTAGGTGTGAGAATTGAACTCGCTTGGCTTCGGACAGGGACCAGTGGTTGGCTGAAGGTGTTAATGAGACTTCAGGTTCAGTACAATGCAGGCAAGTATTTTTTAACTACCTTGCTTCTCAATGATTCCCTTCTATGGAGTGTAAAGCTATTAAGATGTTTAATTGTGGGTAAATTATATATCAATTCTCCATGGGAATGGACTGCAGATGTTTCATAGCTGTGTCAGGGCAAAATGATCCAGAGGACTTTACAAATCCAAATGTGCCGGCAAACAAAATGTAAAATTTGTATTTCATTCAAATGAAGGTTTTTATGCAGGCAGATGAGCTGTGGGTCTTCAGTGCACAGGAGCTCAAAGAAAGATCCTCTTTAGAATTGGTAGTCACAAATTTGTAAGGGGAGGGGGTGAGAATAGGTTGCTTTCCTTTAAAAATACACGCAATAAAATGTGATTCCACAGCAGCAGCCCAGGTCAGGTCATATGAGATTTGTGGTAGGTAAAGTGGCACTGGGGTGCATTTTCTCAAAGTACTTCAGTTCCCACTACTATGTCTCATTTCACTACCTCTACTGTCATTCATTAAACATCCTATCATGGAAGGTATATAATATGGATACTGACTTTTGTAGATAAACAACTAAAGTGAGAGAAACATCTTAACAATATAATCTTTTAAATGTTACAGTGCATGTGCAGTCAAAGGCATTATTCAAAAACCTGAATCTTATTCTGGACTAAGAGAAGAGGGCATCATAAGCGGAATGCGACTGTGGCATAATTCAGGTCTAAATACGGTTTACCAAAGTTTCGTGGAACGGCCACTGTACAAAACTTAGTGACAAGATAATGAATTTTGGGACTTACGGCCTCCAGTTATGACTCATTTGGCCCATTTTCGTGAATATGCAAACTCATTGCATAATTACGTCTAGACCTACACCAAATCGAAACACCTTTGGACGAAAATGGTCGATATTGACAATTCGTGTTATGTAAACATGTTATGTATGACGAGGCACTTTTAACAATATCAAGACGATCAAGACCACACCATACAAGTTATCCGAAACATTTTACTTTCCCCGCGCCCGGCCCTTAAAACAACCAAACCCCAGCCCATAGGGCTATGAAAGGCTATGAAGGTTTATCACGATAAGATTCGAACACGATGTAAAATCGTCGTGGGTATCACAGCAACAAAACTGTAAACGTGGACATCCTCAAGGTTACAGTCGAAAAATTATGTTAAATGACTAAAACTGTCATCCCACACGAATGCTCACGAAGATCACGAACCTCAGACCGCGTTTAGGTTTGATGGGTTTGATTCTTAAGGTCCGCTAAAGATGCTAAAGATGGTAGCATTTGTGACATGACGATGGCAACCATGGCAACGTTGCCAGAATGTGACATTGAGATTCAAATCCGTTCCATATTTGTCTATGCAGGTTTGCTTCTTCTCCGCAGTGTGTTCGGTCGATATTGCAACAAATTATTATCATTTTGAATGGCGTTAATGTATAACACCAAGGCATGACAGAGTCGTATATGAAAATTTGTTTTCTATTACTGTTGTAATAATTATTCATCTGTGTATTAGTGATGCGTATTAGTGTTGTGCAGTTCGAAGAGGAAAATGAGAATATGTAGCGGGTGTACAGTCTTACAGTGTATATTTTGGCAAGTCGATGAGGTGCTTTTCTAATGAAATTCGGATGTTTTTTTAATATGTCTCAGTGTGAATTGATTTGTGAGTTACTTCACTGCAGGTGTTGTAGTGGACCTTGTGCAGGTGACCGTGGTCGATATTAAAGGCCAACATGGCGAAGCAATTTTCTTGTTTTATGATAAACATGCGAGGTTGTTAAAGATTTAAGTGCTTGCAGCGAGACATTTTTCTGTAGGACATTATAGACAGAAATATGCCCACAAAGGTTTCTAAGAAGGTGGTTGGAATGATAATACGAAGTAGGAAGACTATAATGAAAGATGGAGTAATGACGGTAAGACTCATTTTCTTGCAATTTTTGCAAAGGTATGAAAGGATTGTTACGAACAGTACGATAAGGAACGTAGTATTCTATTGATATGATATTTTCTGTTGGTTGACATGCTGACGTAAATGTTGAATGACTTTTTTTTCTTGTGTACTTTTTTCGAAATCATTCTGTATTATGTACCCCAACCCTCTCCAATATTATGCTTTCATATCATCAGAAGTATTACGTGGGTATTGAGATATTGCTCTTAATTTAACAAAATATGGCTATATATGAATTTCTATTGCATGTATAAAGGTATTTGGGTAAAAGAGTAGTTTCCAGAAACACTAGGGGAAGAATCCCCCCCCCCCCCTCTTGCTAACATTACGGGTTAATTTTTTTAAAAGAACTCAGAACCTAACCTTAAATATGCAATGTTTGAGAGAAAAGAAAAGTCATACATTACAAAGAAAAGGTGGACACTGGCTAGTGTCCCCAGAGTGCCACCATATACTACAATATAACGAGAGTTGCAGATGTTTCAGATTGTGCTTATGTTTTCTGACAAGTGAATTATGTTTACCCACTTTGTATATTGAATGAAGGAATGAATGAATGTACAAGGGGTGGGGCCTCTTGGTCCTTGCACTGTGACCACAGTGATCTGTTTTGCTTCCCCTTTTGATTATCCCCTCAGCAATCCTGCACTTCAAATGACGCGCAGGATTTTGTACGTGGGGATGTCAAAATAGTCACTTGGTTCCTTAAAATATTGATCCAAGTGACATAATCTTAAATAAGCTAAGGCCTCACATTCGCACAGGATATTCTTCTTGACACCTCTCACAAGTTGGGCAGTTACTTAGTCCTAGTTTGAAGAGGTGTCCTTTAAGGTGACAGTGTACTGTAAGTAGTCCTACCACCCATCGTAGCTGGTTCTTGTTTAACTTCAACAGTTCCTTCGCTCTTTCATCAGAGGGTCCTCGTATGAGTCCCTTTGCTTGCCTGAGTCCAGTCGATACCCAGTATTTCTTGTGATTCATATTTGTCCAGTCTCTGATTGCCTGCCTGGCAACTCCTATAGAGATGCCACAGGCTGATTCAGGTCCTAGGAATGGATGTGCAGCTCCAATCTTAGCCAATTGATCTGCTATTTTGTTTCCAGCAATACCCTCATGCCCCAGCACCCATATCAGTTGTACCCTGTTATGTTTGGCCAGTTCCATGAGAGTTTGGTGGCAATCCCAGACCGATTTTGAGTTGATCTGGTGTTTGTCAAGCGCGTTAAGTGCAGCTTGGCTGTCAGATAGAATGTAGATGTTCCTATTTCTGTAGTTCCTATCTAAATTCTCCATAATACATGCCTTAATGGCATATACTTCTGCCTGGAATACTGTCGTATACTGCCCAAGGGTGAAACTAAGTTTCCGCCTCTTGCCATAGCAGTACACACCAGCTCTTGGACTCATACTTTGTATGTTGATATCTTTGCTATTTATACTAACAGTTTCAGTTTACTTAATACGTTTCTCCTTGCTCAGAGCTACTCAGGGAGCTCTTCCTTTCTTTGGCTACCTAACATGGTAAGTGTATTTGTATAAGCTGTGTTTATAGTTGTGGCCTTCAGGTTATATGTGAGGAGAAGTGAAGATGAATATGACAGGAAGTACTACAGCAGTTTTTACAGCTGCACTGTGGGAATGAAAGAGGGTGGTGCACTGTAACTAAGTTCATGTTATAACCCATGTACCTTTACAACTTTTATCTTAATTTGTGGCCTCAACCAAATCCAGTGTGTATTTTTTTTAAACTGCAAGGTCTAAAAGCATGGATAGCACAAATGACATATTTTTTTTTAAATATGAACGTGTTACTGTTAAATAAGATACTTAACATTATATTTTGCAGAATAATGTACCAGAATACAAATTATGTCTTTTTAATTTAGTGTTACCAGTCTTATATTCAGGAGATGGTGATTTTGGTTCCAAATCCAGCATATATAATAGTAGAGACGTTCATGTGTTTTCCATCAGTTTCTTGAAATGGTTGTTATGTGTCGTGTTTGAAAAAGAGGCCATCACTGGCTGGGATTGTGTTTTGCTAGCCTTTTGAATGAAAGTTAAGTGTAATTGGCTTTGACTTAGTGGTTAAACTCTGGAATCTCACTGTGTTACCCTACATAGCTTGTCATGTCTCATCATTCTGTGAGGTGTCAACATTCCTACTCCTGCCTGATCATGCAGTTGGAGAGACATGATTGCATCATACCAACAATATTCCTGTTACAATGCCTTATACATCTTTGTGGGAGTGTTTGTTAGCATTCAAGAGAGACAACCTCAGAAAAAGTTCCCAAATATATTTGGGATTTTTTAGATTACAAACAGTACTCCCAAAGTCAGGATGCCTCAAATCGTTGTGCATATCATTGATAAATGTTAGGTTAGGTCAGTTTGATTTGTTGTTAGAGTTTGGATTAGGATTTAGTTTGCTTTTTGATTATTTGAACTGAATCACTTGGTTACATGGCAGATCATACATATTTTTTCTTTGTTTATTCTTTCACTGAATACTGGGTGCAGTGGGACAGTATATCAGCTATTTATAGACCTCAAGAAATTGTATGACATGGCTAGGAGAACGGTATTATGGGTCATTCCATGAAGAATCAGCACACTCCTTGATACTTGATGTCAAAAATTGTGATAACATTTTTATATATATACTGGCCCCATAGCCAAACATCTTTGTTTTAATTTATGTAATGTGATTTTTAATACAGTGTGTTAAAAATCACTCCCAGCTAGGCAAAAACAGTACATCCACAAGGTTTCTCTTTAATGACTCCTTTGATAATGCTCATTGAGAAACATTAAAGAGGTCAAAGAGTTCTGTCTTCTGGGGTTTTATGCCATGTAGTTCATTGAAAGTGATCTGACATTCTGGAGTAACATGTCACCTCCATCTTCATCTCCATCATCCATAAGATGGAGGTGACATGTTTCTCTGAAATGTTGGCTGGCTTTCGACTGACTTTATGACATTGTGTCCCAGAAGATAGAACTCTTCATGACCACTATTGTGACAACCTCAGATCCAACATTCTAGAACTCACTGTAAATCTTACAAATTTTTCTTTTGAAGCTCATGTAAAGATACCCTGCAGCTTGTAATGATTCAGGTTGTAAGGGTTTGCATCCTGACTACATGTATAGCTTCCCTGCCATTTAGTTTGATGTTTTAAATTCTCTTTCCATTTTCCACACACCCCAGCTTGGTGGAAGAACAGTTTAAATTATTGCTTTCTTGCCGTTTCACTTCAGTGTAATTTATAAAATTTTCTGTGTAGTCAGTCTGTAATTATTTTAAATTGCCCCTTATCATTTTCTTCAACAGATGAAGAATTTGATGTGCTGACACCTCCATGTATTCTTGGTTACAAGGGAAATTGTTTTCATTTGCTTCAGAAATGCCCAAATAGTTGCATACCTTTTTCTTTTAGTTTCACTTTCTTAATTGACAACTCAGCAGTCATGAAGAAGTGTTCAAGACTTGCACTGTATCATACTGAACTTCATTTTGGTTTCTTTCATCACTTTCATAATTATATCATTGATCTCAGCTTATATATTTGGTTCTGTTTATTCATTCAACCAAAGTGAGAATTTTTTTGCGTGACCTACATAATTTCTGGCCAGGGATAAGAAGAAGAGATGATTTATGTATAATATACATTTCCACATTTGTTTCTCTTAAGGCTTTGGTTTGTGAGTGCAATAAATTATTGTGAAATGCCCGTTTTTCTTCTTTCTTTCTGTATCTCAGTTCAGATAACTTTATAAGCATTTATCCTTTAACAGAGCAAATGAAAGTTATGTGTGAACAATTATATATCCGCTGGGGAGACATCTTCAGATTGCTGAAGATGTAGTGCACTGTTTAGTTTCTTACCTCTGGCCTTGCCTGAAGGTATGTACATTATTTGTATCATAATTGTAAAATATAATTTTAACTTTTGAAAAAGATCTTTTGTTATTCCACAGCTTTCATAAAGCACTCTGCCAAGTGTTGACTGAAATGAATGTCTGGAAGTGCTGATTAATCTTTCATTTAAAGATTGAAACATGAAACATACAGAGAAAATTTTGCAAACCATTAATGTTATATCACTGTTACCATCTAAGACCCAAATATGCGCCCAATTTCACAGCACAATATGTCCCTACGTGTGTCAAGCCATCATAGAGCATCACAGTATTTTATTGATGTTAATTTCAGTCTTCTTTTATGAGCTATAAATCATAGCATAGCATAGTTGGTTCAGGCACTATGCTACAGGCTGGAAGGTCGCAGGTTCAATTAGCAATGAGGCCATTGGATTTTTCAATTGACCTAATCCTTCTAGCCACACTATGGCCTGGGGTCGACTCAGCCACTAACAGAAATGAGTGTCAGGAATCTTCCAGGGTGTAAATGGGGGCTGTTGAGTAAGGCTGACAACATTACTGCCATATGTGAGAAGATTGTCTAGAAAATGTAGGAACCTCATCGTATCACTACTCCATGGGCCTTTACGGCTTGTTAGAGGGATAGCTTGATTTTATATATGTATATGAGGGGCAGTAAAATGAAAATGGGTCAGAAGCCAAAACATATTAAAGAACATTACTTACCTCAAAAATAATCTCCAAAACTGTTAATACATTTATCCAACTGGGAGATAAGATGGTCAATACCATCCTTGAAAAAGCTTGTGGGCTGTCTACGGAACCACATCTTTACCCAGCCACACGTCTTCGTCCGATGCAAACCAATGTCCACGAATGTGTCTCTTCAGGTCTCCAAAAATGTGAAAATCACTTGGGGAGAGATCTGGGCTGTAGGGGAGATGTTAAGCACTTCTCAACCAAATCTCTGTAGTGTATTCCTCACAGAGTTGGCAGTGGGGGGGTGCACATTATCATGAAGAAGGGTAATGCCGTTGGATAGCATTCCAGGGCATTTTGACTTTATGGCAT